GAACCAGGACACTTTGCGACAGTTCTGGGCCTACATCAAGCAGCCTGCGCCGCTCGACCCCGTCCAGGCTGGCTACTTCACCAAGGTCAACGAGTCGCTGCTCGACCGCAAGATGGAGGAGATGCTCGACTTCTTCAAGTCATTGGACAACGTTGTAACAGACATGTTGCAGCATGTCGACTGCCCTGTCATCATGGACCTGCTGTTAAAGATCATCAGCCTTGAGAAGAGCGAGGGCGGACAGGGCATTGTTGACGTAAGTCGTCTTATACCCGCTTGCTGGCATGACTAACAGACTGCAGTGGCTGCAACAACAGAACCTCGTTCCCCGCCTGATATCGTTCCTCGCCCCAGATCAGTCGACTTCCACACAAACGTCAGCTGGCGACTTCCTCAAAGCCATCATCACGATATCCGCAAACGCTACCACGCAAGATCAGTCCGTCATTGGCCCCAACGAGCTTACGCGCCAGCTTGTCTCCGAACAATGTCTCAAACAACTGATCGACTTTATGCTACAAGGTGGCAACCCGCTGACAGTTGGCGTGGGCATCATCATCGAGGTCATCAGGAAGAACAACTCCGACTATGATTTGGAGAACCAAATTGGGCCGGTACCCAAGAATTCAGACCCCATCTACCTAGGAACGCTGCTCCGCCAATTCGCAAACCACATCCCGCAGTTCATGGAGCTGGTTAATAGCTCAAGCCAGATTGTGACACAGCGCGATGGTAGCACTACCAAGAAAAAGCGAGAGCTCAAGACAGCCTTTGGCGAGAAGATTGAGCCGCTTGGATTTGATCGTTTTAAGACTTGTGAGCTGATGGCCGAGTTGCTGCACTGCAGTAACATGGCTCTGCTCAACGAACGGGGCAGCGAGGCTGAGGTCAGGAGGCGAGATGCCGAGCGGGAACGTCTCAAGGCTGACGGCAAATTGACTTCAGCGATCTCCGGCAACCCAGGCGATTTCTCCACCAGTGTCGATAGCCAAGGCTTCCATCACGCGCGCGCCCCATCTATGGACTCTCCTGCAGAGATAAAACCTCTGCACGTCCAAAATAGCTCGGAAGACGACTTTGAAAAGGTTGTCGCGCCGGAGGTTGCTGTCGAGGAGGCCAAAGACACCGCAACAGAGAAAGAGCAGATTGGAGAGCCATTGGAGCCTTCGCCAAAGCTGCCACCGAGAGATGCGCCGCAGGAATCTTCTGCCACCAAGACTGCAGGCGACGATGGCGAGTTTGTTGATGAGCCTCTAACACCGCCCAAGGACGCTGCAGCACCTACTGAGAAACCTGCATCTCCATCTAAGCCGGCAGATGATGCCGAGTCACCCACATCAGCAGGCCTGAGTGCCAAGGTCGACGAGCTTGAACTGGATACCGACACCGTTATGAACGACCGTCAGGAACCGACAGAGCCTGCGAAGACCGAGAAGTCGGATGCCGATGTCAAGACCCCGCCATCTCTTCTCACACAGCAGCTCAACCAGACCTCGGATACCACTACCGCTGAACAACCCGAGAGCCTCTCACCCCATCCAGACGACAAACCAGCGCCACTGTTTGCGGGTAAGAACCGCAAAAGTGAAGCCGAACCAGCCAGCATCGACACCTCGCGCTTCACCGCACCAGTAGCAGGTTCAGATCTTTCGGAGATAACTCCCATCGACGAGTCTCAGAGCGTGCGTTCGGTAGTATTCGGCAGTGCAGAGGATGCTGCAGGCTTCGAGATCGACATTGACGGTACGCCTGTTGTTGGCGACTTGCTGAAGATCACATTCGTTGAGAACAAAGTTGTACCAACGATACTGGTAAGCCCACTCGGTTTCTTTCAGCAGTTCATGCTAATACTTTCAGGACTTCTTTTTCCGCTTCCCGTGGAACAATTTCCTACACAATGTAGTATACGATGTTGTTCAGCAAGTTTTCAACGGCCAGATGGACCGTGGATACAACCGCCAGCTAGCGATTGACCTCTTCGATAACGGAGGCATTACCGAGCGCATCATCAAAGGACAGCAGGAGAGCGACAAATCGCACCAAGAAACGTCCATGCGACTAGGGTACATGGGTCACCTCACCCTGATCGCGGAAGAGGTGTTGAAATTTACAGAGCGACATACCGACGAAGTTTTGTCGCAGATGGTCCTAGAGAAGGTCCACGCTCAAGAGTGGGTGTACTATGTGGAGCATATTCTGGCTGAGACGCGAGAGCGCGACAACGCCATTCTCGGAGGCGTCCGACCTGACATGAGCGTCGGCCCCAGACAGGCTGTGCTCAACGCCGTCAACGCGGCGAACAACAACTTCGGAAGCGACAGTGGCGGGCTCTCCAATGCAAGCCTTGCCAATAACGGCAACATAGGCCTCGACAGCATGGAGCTCACCAATGCTGGTGACACTGAGGGTGGTGGGTACACCTTCAGCGGAGGCTCCTTGCTTAGTGGCTTTACTAACTCGAGTGACGAAGAAGACGAAGACATGGACGATGTCGACACCGAGAGAGAGCGGGAACAACGACAGGGACCTGTCGACGACTCCGAACAAGTGGGTGAAATCTCATTTGACGATGCTGATATGGACTATCGATAAGTCCATGGCCCCGAGCATACACACTATACCACGAATGTTTCCCGCCCTTGGTGCGTTTCCTTTTCTTATACTTGTTTGTATCATGAGCGGGAACGGACAGACGGCTCGCATGCTAGATCTATGGGCCTATCATCATCCTTTCTGTACATACATTCCTTGCGCCATCCGACAGGGTGTATGATACATGTAGTAATACGCATCGTGAGATGTGGTTTCCTCTCATCTCCTTTGTGTGATGTACCACTGGATGATTGGGCTTCATTGATCTGGTATGGTGTCCTCTTTCCTCCTCGCTTCCATCTGCTTGTCTCCTCTTTGTCAACCCTTTCTCTGTAAAATCCGATTTGCTCGCGTTCCATCTCCGCCCTATACTGTCGTCCTATACTACCATTGAACAGCTCCACTAACACAACTTTCCAGCCCAGCATCCCACCGCCCCTCCAGATCCCCCCATCGCGCGCCCGCCGCCAATTCGCCCTCCGCCTCGCCCAACGCAAAGCGCAGCTCGAATCAACGCGCGAAGCAGAAGAAGACCCAGACGACGCTTCCGCTCCGAAAACCCAAGAACAAGAAGAACGCGAAGGACACCAGCGCTTCGCACGCATGTTCGAAGGCATCGAAGACTCTTCCGACGACGACAGCCTACACAGCATCGAAGGCATAGGAGAGGATGAGGAGAGCATACTAGGTCGCATCGAGGTTGAGGGTCAGGAGGTGGGCAGGAGGAGCCCGATCAAAGTGGCCAGTCCCGAGAAGGTGAGCAGTCCGGAGTTGGAGCGGGGTCCGAGTGGTGGTGGGGAGTGTAAGGAGGAGGAGAGGAGAGTTGTGGTTTAGTGTGTTGTTGATGTGTTTATGAATGTGGTTGGTGGATAAGGCGCAGGCTTCGTCAGCGGGGTCGTTGATTTGTAGATCTACGTTGCTGTTGATGGGCATTGCGCAGGTTCATGTATGGTTTACGCGATGTTGGCATGATGTATGCAGTAATGCATGGTTATGAGATACCCCCTTCGATCTATCTCTTTGGCTCCTGTATTTCACGTTGAGCTGGAGCAAGTGCAGGATCACTGAAGCGTTGGAAAAATTTGCTTCACGATCTCTTGTCGTTTACGAAGACGAGGCAGGTACGGCATTGGCGAACAGTACCTACCCATTTCGACGCTCACGTCAGGTGACTTGGCGACACGCTAAGTAGATCCTTAGCGCGTCCGCCATCCACCCTTCCCTACCATCAACACTCACAGACTCCACACACAAATCACATGCCACCCACCACTATGTCCTCCCAACCCGCTCCTCCCCGCCCTTCAAACGACCACCGCCGCACCTCAGGCGCCCCCAAACGCCAATCCATTCTCCCTAAACCCTCCTCCATCTTCCTCGACACCACCGTCCTCATCGCCCAACACGCGCAAATCACCGGCACGCACCCCGTCACAATCGGCCCTAATACCGTTTTACACCCACATAGCAAACTCAGCAGCGCGGTCGCACCTGTTGTCCTCGGTGAAGGCTGTGTGGTCTTTGAACGCGCGAAAGTGGGTGTTGGTATGGGTGCTGAGGGGGATGCGGAGGGGAAGAGGGGGAGTATGGCACCTCCTGCAAGAGGGAGTGCGGGTGTGAGGGAATCTATGCGTAGTGAGGGGACGGTGTTGGGACGGAATGTGGTTGTTGATTCTGGGGCGGTTGTTGAGGCGGCGGAGGTGGGCGAGGGGAGTGTGGTTGAGGTTGGTGCTGTGCTGGGGAGGGGCAGTATTATTGGGAGGGTATGTATACTTTCTAAGGTTTGATTGCATCCCGGGAGCTTCAAACTAACATGTTTGTAGTACTGCACTATATCGGCTTCTTCGGTTATACCGCCTTACACCCGCTTGCCAGATTATACGGTCGTGTATAGTGGGAACCAACAAAGGGTGGATCGGACACTGCAATTAAGACCGGAGATTCTGGAACAGAAGATGGCGGTGCATGCGAAGCAGTTGGATATGTTTAAGAAACTTATTCCCAATAATATTGCGAAATGGTCTTGAGGGAAGGACGTACTCGGGGATTTGCGCCATCCTTCGAATCCAGACAGGACGAGTTTTGACACAACGCCTCGACAACGTTCTTACACAAATGTCTGCCTACGGCAGCGGTTCCAGGGGTGAAATATTTTTGGGCAGTGAAAGTGAGGTATTCCTACGGGACTCGGCGCTGGTTGCCTTGTGAAAGCTTTGGAAAGCCATAGCAGAAGCAATGGCAGCAGTCTTTCACCGACCAGTGGGCCCTCTGGGACTATACAATCTCCTCTCTGATTGTATATGTACGAAGCACCTCCACCGTTCACGACAAGAACCACCACACCACTCAGCTCTACCGCCGATCGCGTTCAACCAGCACTAGCACCAGCACCAGTATTGTGACCAACAATGCCTCTCTACGCCTCCAAATCAGCTTTCCTCGCTTTGGACATGAAGGCATGTCCCACGCCGCCCTCCGACCCCTCCTGTCCTATCTGCCGCGAAGATCTCCAGCCTCACGAGCCAGAAACCTCATCCGCGGGCCCTTCAGGCGAAGTCGCACAAAATGACACCCCCATCCCAAACAGTTCCGCCGCTGACCACGACACCACCGCCGTCAACAGCGCACCCGCTGAACCAAACGAAGATCACTCTCCCGTCAAGGTCACCTGTTGCAACAACATCTTCGGTCGCAACTGTCTAGAAACCTGGCTCACCAGGGGAAACAGCTGTCCATTCTGTCGCGCCGAGTTCTTCCCCTCGCAGACCGTACCAACCCGAATGACATTCGCATGGTATGCTCGGGCCATTGAGGCAGCACAAGCTCGAGCCGCCGAGAGGGCGAGAGCTCGATACACAGAGGGCATGCAGGAGGTGACAGCTCGATCCGGAGAGGGCATGCAGGCGGCGACAGCTCGATACAGAGATAGCATCGGTCGCATTACACTCATACACGAAATGAACCTGCGTGCACAAAGAATGCTGGAGGAGACAGTGCTACAGCGTACGCTTGAGGCTCTGCAGCAGGCGAGTCCGGGTGTGGAATTGGCGGACCGAGATGACGCTGAGGATGAGGATGAGTTGTCCTCTGAGCCCGAGTCGGAGGATGAGTCTGAGTTGATTCCCGAGCTAGAGTCGGAGGATGAAAACGAAGGGTACTACTCGGAGTCTGGGTCTGTTCTGAGTGAAGATGAGGACGACGGGTCTGAGTTTGAGGATGAGGATGAAGATGAAGATAGCGGTGATGAGGGCGGAGGGGGCGATGGGCCCCGGAGGGACCTGGATCTGGAGGCGCGGTTTGTGTTGGGTGCGCTCATACAGGTGCTTCAGTGCGAGCCTAGAGTGGCGTCGCTGGAATAACGAGTGTAAAGGAAGGTTGCGACAGGCTGGAAAAGATGACGTATTCCTTTTCCATGGTTGCATTACTTATAGTCATCCATAAATAATCATGTCGAAGTAGCACTTGCTTCAACTATTACAAGTTCAGCATCTATCATAATCATCCCCTGACTTTGCACGTCTACCTCTACCAACGTACCTATTCGCCTATGACCAGTTGGGATAGCTTGAAACATCGTGGTATCCAACGATCCAACAGCTGGTCATAGCCGAGTAGGTAGGTTGGTAGAGATAGATGCATCTATCAGAATACACCACATCTCCCACAATAACCGTCCCAACCCTACCCGTCCCATCTTACTGCCACCGAAACGCATCCCCCGGAATAAAGAAATTCGCATCCTCAAACGTAATAACACGATCCATATCCAGAAAATGACTGTCCATAAACGCATCCGACAGATTGAGCAGAGACTGATCTTGAGTGCTATGCTGGTTCCCAGTCGCGCCAGTATTGCCATATGGAGCAAGAGAGGGACCGGATACCGGGACTCCGTTTCCGGGCTGTTGGTACTGCTGTAATGGGGTATGACTCGAGTAACTAGCTGGTACTTGCGGCGATGCGTATATGGGAGGTGGCGGCTGTCCGGATGGTGATATCGCGTGTGTGATTGGGAGGCGCGGGTTGTGTTGCTCGTAGTTGCTGGGCGAGGGCACGGTCGTGTTCCGGGTTATGTCTGGAGGCGGGATGCGTCGCGGACTGAGGGTTGAGTGTGAACTAGTGAAGCTGTTGGTACGTCCGTGGCTCCTCATTAGAGAACGTTCATGCGCAAGGCTTCTGGAACGCGCTTGTGGTGTTGCTGCATAAGTCGGACTAGCGTAGTTTTGTGGGTCGAGGGTCAGGCCGTTGTGGTCGTAAAAGTCGAAGCGGAAATTTGCGTCGTTTTGGCAGGCTTCGAGTAGTCGTATGAGGTGGCTCGCATATATTCCTGCCTGGTTTGTTGGTTTCGCGTCGTTTGATTTTTTTCCTTTCCATCTTGCTGACATTTCCTCGAGATTGTGGATCAGACGATCGAATTCTGAACGCAGAGGTTTGCGGGTGGCTTGGTGTTCGAAAAGCAATGCTTTGGCAGCGATGAAGGCGCAGAATGAGAACTGGACGTTGACGAAGGGTATGGGGGTGTGGGTGAGGAATTTGTCGACAATGTTTGAAGTTTCTACGGCGGCGAGCTCGCAGGTCTGGGCGCTGCATTCTTTTGGTAATGCGACGAAATCGTTCCATCCGCGGGGCGGGTATCCAATTGGGTGATGCAGTAATATCATCGAGGTATTATGTGTGATGTGGGCTAGAGTCAGATTAGGATCCATGTCGACCACAGTCCTGTCTGACGAGATGTTGGAGTCCTTCCATCTGGGTGGCAGGAAAATCTTCCATTGCACAAGTCTCAAGTCCAGCTCTTTGAAGCGCGTCAGCCAACTGACTGCATGCTCCTTGTCTTGCCAGTTGATCCTTTGTTGAAGGAAGAATGTCGTCACCTGACTCAAACTCTCGGTTGCTTCGACGCAGTATGCGAATGCGCCTAGCTTAGAAGCATCAATGTAGCCGTTGGCGGAATTGGGGCTGGCTCCTGGAGGCAAGTGCTCGACTGCTGGATCTTCTTCGTTGTATTGCGCGGGCACGTTTGCTAGTGAGCGTCCAATGCGGGCGGCGGCCTTGTTCCAGATGCCGAAGTAGGGTGTGGTTACCGGCTCTTCTCTGGTGAAGAAACCGCCGTCTGCCGGTAACCGACGGTGCACATCATCTGCTGTGAGACTGGTGTTCCATCCCGTGGACACCGAACAATATCGATCGAGCAGGAAGATGATCCAGAACAATCTTCGTCGCTCTTCCAACTCCGTCCAGTCGTTTGAGGGCTTCACTAAACGCACAGGCGTCATCAGTGATCCTGATTGCGATGTCGATGGCTCGGTAGTAAGTTGGAGGTAGTCTATAGTCCTCGTGAGCGACCCGATCAACGGCCACGCTCTTTGTGTTTGGCCGTCATTAAGAAGATCAAAGACTAGGAAGATGAGGGCCTGCAAGCTTTCGATGGTGACATTGCGCATCGCATGCGTTTCCACGATCATCCGGGAGACCCTCGTCTGTTGAAGGATCTGATCATTATCCAGATACAGTACGTCGGGGTCCATGTGTCGCAGAGCAACGGCGACTAGAGCATGAAGGACCAACACATGTCCTGGATCCTGACAACCTTGGCGCACTCGCGTTTGAAGTCTCGCCTTATGAATATATGGGATCCAATGATGGAACGAGATGCAAAAGAAGTCTGCAACCTTCTCGAGTAGTGGTTGAGATGGCAAATGCTGCGCGATATCAACATCCTCGAAGGGAAATAGCCAACTCTCCGCAATCGGCATTTCGAATCTTCTTTTCAATGGATTTGACACGCCGTTCCCTTCTTCGGAACCTCTGGAGCCATCCTCTGCGGATTGGTGGATGTGGCTATAATCGGGAGTAGGCGCGACATACGGCGCGTGTTCCTCTACACGGGGCGCGCGTTCTTTTACAGCACCGGGGCTTTCATGTGCGACGACATGGCCATTCGCCAGGGTATCATGGTCTCTATACCGTGGTCGGATGTTTCCCGCATCATCTAGCAGTATCTTCTCTAGAAAGGCTACCGAGCGTAAGATTGAGTTCATCGTAGAAGAAGTACCACATACCGACGCGGCGGGTCAACGCCTCAACAGCTCCGGGCTTAAGCCCAGGTTTGTTCTTTGGCTGATAAACACATTCAGAGGCTATGGCACATTAGCGACGCGGTGTAGCGACGCGAAATAGCGCCAATCGACAGAAAAACTCACACAGCCTCAAACAATGCGAGCACGAGGGGGTCTCGCGCGAGCATCGCAGCTTGCGTTGCTTGCAGCTGACGCAGGCGGGCGTGTCACCGCCCACCGAGACGGGACCGTCGTCCTCGCCTGCTTGGCTACCATTGCCAACCGAGTAATTGGTCCACCCAGCCGACATCAGCACGACATCGCAAAAGCGCTGATCAAGAAGAAGCAAATGTGGAGGATGCAGCGAGCGGCGGGCATCGGGATAAATCCAAATTACTCCACACGCGGGCCCCGCGCGGGCTAACCCTCCTTTCGGCTGATCACGATCACTCCACCCCGGAAGCCATCCGATTTCATCAATACGGGACGGGAGCCTATGGCGATACGCGGTATCGATATATCTTTCGGATGCGCTACCTATTGAAGCTTGGGTGTAAAGAGGCACGAACTGTCTTTTGCACCCATTGGTACCGCCCACAGGGGGTCACGCCATAGAACTGGATACAGGAGACTACGGAACATGTAGAGGCGCAAGCGCACAGCCTCTGTCCGAAAGAACTCTCAGGTTCTGCATCTTCACACAGTCTAAGCTCTTGATGACGCTCAGGACACTATGCCTCCACTCGACGGCTTCTCAAACAACCCGTTCAAGACCCATGCCGATTTCAAGACCGCATCCATAGCACTCCTTCGCGCATTGAAGCCATATCAATCACCTCATGGCGCCAGGATCAAACTCCCGTTGTCAACTGGCACCCATTTCGACGATGTCGCCGCTCAGCTCGAAGGATACGCCCGGCCGCTATGGGCAGTCGGTGCGCTGATGCACTCCAATGTCGTATCCAAAGACGAGTACGGAGAGCTTATCAAACCTTACGCATTAGGCCTGGCCAACGGTACTAACCCACATCACGAAGAGTACTGGGGTCCCGTCGTACTACGCGATCAAAGGATGGTGGAAATGGAGATCATCTCGTTCGCGCTACTATCAGCTCCAGAGACAATGTTCCATTCGCAGACCAAAGAAGCGAAGAGGAACATCATGGAGTGGCTAGGAACTATCAATGGCAAAGACTTCCCCACGACGAATTGGCTGTGGTTCCGCGTCATGACTAACCTAGCGTTGATCAAAGTATGTGGCGTGCCCAAAGAGCATGTTCTCGATGCGATGAAAGCAGATTTGGATCTTATGGAGCAATTCTATCGAGGGGATGGCTGGGCAGCAGATGGTATCTGGAGTGACGAGGGACGACAGGCAGATTACTATTCCGGCAGCTTTGCGATACAGTTCTCGCAGCTTATCTATGCGGAGATGGCACGAGATCTGGATCCAGAGAGGTGCGAAAGGTTTCGGGGTAGAGCGAAGGCATTTGCAGTGTCGTTCTGGCAGTACTTTGACACGAACGGTATGTTGAATGCCTACCGCAGGCACCCAACACTGACTAAAGCATCCTAGGTGCCGCTATACCCTTCGGCCGCAGTCTGACATACCGTTTCGCGTTCGCCGGATTCTGGTGCGCTGCTGCTTTCGCAGAGGTCGAACTCCCGGAACCACTCAACGACTGGGGCGTGATCAAAGGTCTGTTACTCCGGCATTTCCGCTGGTGGAGCAAGAAAGACGACATGTTCAACATCGACGGCACCTTAACAATCGGCTTTACCTATCCCAATATGTACATGAGCGAGGACTACAACAGCCCACAGTCTCCTTACTGGGCCATGAAGTCTTTCCTAGCGCTAGGACTGCGGGAAGACCACCCGTTCTGGACTGCAGAAGAGAAGCCTTTACCCAGTGCAGAGTTGGCAGTTATGCCAGTCAAACCGGCTATGCACATCCTCTGCAACCAGCCAAACCACCACTTCCTCCTATCCATGGGCCAATTCTGTCCTTGGCCCCTCAAAGCCACAGAAGCCAAGTACGGAAAGTACGCTTACTCCTCGCACTTTGGCTTCAGCGTGCCTACTGGTACTTTGATACAGCAAATCGCACCAGACAGTACACTCGCAGTGAGTAAAGACGGCGGCGAGACATGGCGGGTACCATGGAAAGTCACAAACCATCGGTTTGCTACTGCACAACTGATGCACAAAGACGAATGTATAGAGGACATATCGTGTTTGACGAGCACATGGAGACCCTGGGCCGACGCCGATATCACGGTACAAACACACATCCTGGCTCCTTGCTCGCGCTGGCCAGATTGGTATATCCGCTGGCATCGCTTCACCAACAACGGATCTAGTACAGTTACTATCCAGGCCGTTCAAGGTGGCTTTGCGATCCAAGGGCGGGGCGATAAGCTCGGGGAAACCTTACCAGCACACGCACACAGCTCTGAATTCTCCATCCAAGCAAGCGGAAACAATGCATCTTTCCCGCAAGGCACGGTAACAACCCAGAACTCAGCTCTCATCTGCTCCAACGCCGGGGCTAGCGGCATCGCTGCCCTAAACTCACACAATACCAACCATACAACGGAAAGAATGTATGCGGACATCCTAAAACCGGACGCGAATACGAATTTAATGTGGCAGCGCACACTCATTCCCACTATTAGGAATGGACTGATTATACCGCCAAGTAGGACAGGGCAGCCATCTTCTGAGTTTGGTAGCGCAGTGTTTGCTCTGGCTAGGACGGATGACAGAGAAGAGCGATACGCGGGGTTGGATCACAGTCAGTTGTGGGGTGATGTACCAGTACTGGATACTGGGAGAGGGAAGGAGAGAGACAGGGAGTGGTGTATCAAGCTTGAGTAGATGTGCGATAGACTAGCTGAGCAGCACAACGTATCAACATAGTTCTGAGCAGCGTTTAAGGATGTTTCTCAGCACAATAAACGCGTATTCCACAGGACTATCTTTTGAAAACATGTTCTAGTATTCAATCTAGCAAAAAAGACCCGCAAGCCAAGCTAATCGTGCAAATGTGATAATCGGTATATCTTCCTCCGTTCCTCAATCCGATACAATAGGCGCCCAGACATTTCAAATATTGTCCGTTATAGCTAGAGAACACACAGATAGTACAAGCAGGTCATGATCTTGCCAATCCGCATCACGTATGTGCAGAGGGTGATTTTTTTGTAAATGACAAAAAGTCATAGAAAGACCACGTATAGCCTCCTTAGCTTGCGCTGAGGTCCAAGACACCGGGTAACGCCAACATGATTGATTAGCAAAAGGTGGCTGCTGCCGCGAAGGACAAGTTGTTTGAGTGGTGATTGGTGTTTCTACCTCTTCCTCACGCAGAAGAAGAGACCAGTGCGACCAAGGAACCACAAGCATCCGATGAAACGGACAATGGCGAGCGCAGCGGTAGCCCACAGAAGGGCCTGGAAGAAATGCGCGGTTCTGCCGGAGGCGCTTGACTGTGATTGAGTTAGTAAAATGATCGAGATAAGAAGTTCAAGTGACTTACAGAGAAACCGAAGCGGTCAAAGTTGTCCTGGGTAATGACAACCGCAAGTGTGGCGTTTGAACCAATCCAGGCTGTGCACAAATGGGTACGGAAAGACTTGTAAGAGTCCTCTAGAGTCTTCTCGTCGCTCTCGACAGGTGGTACGTAAGGAGCGAGAGCACGCTTGACGGTGGCCTCGAACTGGCTGTCGATATCGGCTTGTGGCAGATCCGGCTCCTCGATAACGTTGTGCTTTCCGTCGGCTCCCTTCTCCGTCTTCGCTGAGGGAAGCGCATCTGCCTTGTCGGATCCCTTGGTACCCCAGGAAACATCGTGCCAGTTGGAGAAGGCGTAGACGTTGAGGATGTTGACGTAGGAGGACATGATGAGCAGATACTGCGGGAACGAGGTGAACATGTGCCATGGGTCCATGTAGAGGAACGAGGCGACGTAGTAGAGACCGAAGGTAGCCGCAAGAGCGATAATGATAATACCGACACCGCTCGACGAGAAGAAAGACGAGGCAAATGCTTCCGGCGATGACGTGTCGAGTTTCTGCGAGGACGGGTTCGTGAAAGCCTGCACAACGAGGTATATGGACAGGATAACAATGTAGAACTGGATGAGACCGAAAACGCAGAAAGAGACCAGGTAAGACCACTTGGAACCCTTTGGACGATTACCAAAGGCCAAAATGAACTGTAGGACCAGGAATGCGAGGTAGAGATAGGTGACGATGACGTTGAAGATGGGCGTGACAGTGTTTCCGAAGGGCCAGGCGTCCCGGGTATCGGTTTTGGTGCCGACAAGACTCATGATAACGACGGTGGTAAGCCAGAAGGAAGCCAAGGAGAACCAGGCCATGATGGTCTGGAAGACGTTGTACAGCATTTGAATGTGCAGGAAGAACATGCGGACGAGGTTGTGGCCACTCTTGTACATGCGGCCGAAATGGAGCAGGGAGTAGATACCGGCAGCGAAGGAACCGTTCAACCAACGACGACGCTGACCGATGAATTCGGCAGCACCCTCAGGCACATCGGTTTCACCCTTGGAGGCCTTGATGTAGGTAAGATGCCACTTGGATCCAGCCTTGGCGACAAGCTCGAAACACAGAATACGATCTTCGGCCAAGAACATGTTCTTCTTGAAAATGTTCATGCCCTCGATACCCTTCTTTCCGAGAATCTTGGCGAGTGTGTGGTCACCGTGGAAGTACTGCTCGAGCGGTCGGCCCATGATAGCACGGTATCGGTAGGCCGAGAAAGCACCAGGCAACACAGAGACGTATCCGAAGGAGGATTCCAGCGGCTTGTCGAGAATGTTACTGATCTTGTACTCGAAGTTCTGGGCGGCTACAAGGGGGTTGAGGAGGTTCTTCCAGCCCTGCATCCTGTCAGTATTCCTTCATGTTCAAGGCATTATACTCCAATTTTGAGAGGATAAAACGTACCTTGCCCAACATAGCGTGAATCTCACCGCAAGCACCACCGAGATCCTTGTCGTTGTAGAAACCTTCCCAGAGGGCGAGAAGGGACTTGGGACCAGGCTTTGTACCAGCATCGAGCAGAATGCAGACTTCGGGATTGAGGATGCGACCAATAGCAGTGAAGAGCCATCTGTGGGAGTTGATCTTCTTGCTGTTCTTCTGCTTCAAGCAGAACATCATCTGAACGGGGGGAAGTGTGCTGGCGCTGTCATCGTGGGGGCGAATGAGCTGCTGGTTGGGCGTAACGGAAAGTTGCGTGGTGTATTCGAACTGAGTTGTTAGCGAAGTGCGAAATGACTAATATTTGCTTAACACTTACGATATGCGCAACGGTCTCGTTTCCGTCAATGTCCTTCTTCATGACACCGTCCTGGTAGATACCGACGGTGGCGAGCAGGTCAAGAGTACCCTTGTCGCAGGGGTCAATACCGTCGAAAACCAAGCACACAACGATCTTCTGCCAGGCCGGACCGCCCTTGTTCCAGAACTCGGACTTTTTCAGGTTGACAATGTCGCGGATGTTCTGCATGACACCGTGCAGAGTACGGGCAGTAAGAACCTTGTCTTCGTTGTAGTAGGTAATGGCAATGAGCAGCTCGGTGTGGCGGTTGTACATGGCCGGACGCAGATTGTAACCGTTCTTGAGGGTAAAGTCGTTGGGGTCGCATGTCGCAGCAGTGTCTAGCGGCTGTCAGACCTAAATGGGAAATACAGAACGTGGGACTTACAGCGCATGTGGGTGAACTCCTCGCTACCGCTCTCGAGGTCATTGCGGTACTTGGCCTGGATGGCGTTCTGGATGGCAGAGGGGACAGGGTAGTCGGCACTCAGAACGGAACCCTGGACAAGCTTGACCTTACGGGTCATACCACGCTTGAGACCACCGGCGGCACCTCCGCCAGGCTGCTGTCGCTGCCTCCATGCCTCGGTCGAGCTGGTCTCGCTCCTCTGGTATGGTGATGGGGCTCGCTGGGGAGCACCGAAGTCGCCCTGCGCATCGTAGCCACCGGACGCCGAGTAGGAAGTGCCGGCGTGGGCCTCGCCAGGGTATTGTGTTGGCCTGTCGGTCGCGTAGGACTCGGTCAAGCTGTAGGTGGAGTGCGGGCGGACCTCAGGGTTGCCGTAGAAAGGGTCCGGGTGGGCGCCGGTAGGGTTCTCGTGCAGCAGCGAGCGGCCTACTTCCTCCTCATCGTGGGTGCGGTCGTACTGCGGACGCTGTCAGTATGTCGTGCCTTCCGCCATATCATCAGGGGCGCCTACGCCGGTGTTCGGGTCTCCAAGGTTATAACCTTGGTTATTGTTGTACGCCATGACGTGCTGCAGTCCACGGGCCGGCGCTGCAGATGGCGGAGTTGAAGGGAAAAAGGAATAGGCGGTAGGGGTATAAACGGTTGAGATAGAAGAAAGGCGGCAGCGCACAACTCGGGGTGTCGCTTGATAAAGGTGGATGGAATGTCTGGGGCGCTTCAGGGCTGAGAAAGCTGAAGGGACGCGCGCTATACCCCTTGTGGTGGGATGGGGGAAGGTGCGCTAGGAAAACCGCCGTCTCTGAAACACGGCTTAGCCAGTTTCTATTCGTCGTCGCCGTGTAAGCTGCGCGTTTCGGATGCAGCTGGGCACTCCTTTAACAAGAATGCATTCGTGGAGACGCTTCAAGAACGGGCGATCGCTCCTACTTGAATTCGACGGCAACCGCAAAACCTGCTGGCGGTGAAGCACACGACCGAAGCACATGAAGTCTCCGTCGTCTGTCAGTGTGGCGCTAGCCGGCCACGACGACCTAAAATTAGACAGGCCCTGGACGCTTGCTTGCTCAGCCTCACCAAAGTCTACCAACATCGCTATTGCCGGCATACTATGATACTATCATGTAGACTGCCTGACTCGCCCTGCGCAGACTACTCCTACGACGTGCATACAACGCCCGTTGCCGTCGAGTGGCTGAAATGCTCAAAATCCCCTTCTGCACGGCTGCGCGTCTCTGTCTCAAGCTAGGGGTCGCACGGTCGACGTCAGCCAGCTTCCAAGGTTGCTCCGCAGGCGTATCCACTCAGAGAGATCTCCTAGTTCTCTGCAAAGGGTTACATGCATTGCTACTGTAACCCAGCCTACCATATTGTATACGAACCCAGAGTCGGAGCGATTGATTTTAAAATAGGGCCGTTCCCATGCCACCACTACAAACTTCGCCACGTAGTTTTTGCCTGCCGTTTTGCCAGCGTTATTGCAGTGCTGCGTTTGGCTGCTGGGTTCGCGTGATGGCGGTGCGGTGACAGGGTCCAGGCCTGTGGTAAGGTCTCCTATCCGTTGTGTGGGCCGCCGTTGGAAAGCTGTTCCTGGACCCAGGACCCTTCATCTCTGCTGGGTCTCACATCTCAACCGCCACATACTCGATCTCGCTGACAGCTTGGCATCGGCGTCGGTACCACATATGCTCTGAGACGACGTCGAAAGTCAGATCGTCCACCACAATCCTTGGTTGAATACAAGCCTGCGTTGTTGACTTTCATGAGTATGTGCACAACAAGATGCATAGAACAGGCTGGCCTATGCTGAGCAACAGTCCGCGCAGCTCCCCCGAGTCATCACATCACGTGCTACAGCCTCCTCTTACACCTGCATCCATGATACTACCAGGGCTGGGCAGTTCCTTCCAATCCAGGTAGCGACATGAGAGTATCCCTCTCAAATCGCTTCTTTTGGCAGCGAAGATGGTGAACGCGGCTGCCTTTTTGCACCTTATCGCGCGGGGAGCAGCAGGCCGCACCTTCCGTCACCAGCGCCTCAACAAAACGAAAACTTGTATTCTCCATGTGCATCCACACCACTCGTGTAGTATTTCCTCATACTCGAAAAACAACACCTACTTACTCCCTACGCTTGGCTGGCGTCATACCCACTGCTACTGCCCCGCATCGGAATACAGTACTAGTCGCAATAGTTGTCACTACAACAACTGAACCTCTTGTTCGCTAATCACTTACGACGTTATACACAGTTCCTCTTCGACCCGCATATCCACTAAGCGGTACGAGCCGCCATGGCCTCAGCCGCACCATTAGTGGATCTGCCCAAATCCAAGTCTGGTACTTCACCACCATCGACGGCGACCACATCTCCAATAGCTGAAGGTCACGACAATACAACTCAATGGCAAACACCTGAGAATCCCAACTTTGTGCATCCCGACCACGCAATACCGTCACCAAGCTATCCTAGCGCGGAGAATCTCATCATCGTTTGCTGCCACGCCATCTTCCTTCCGAATGCAGATGAGCCCAACTTCCCACTGTGTAGTCCTCACTACGAGCCACATTGGTTGCTAGCGCCTTTTCAAAAGTCAGACGAAGCGACAGGCAAGCCAGGCGAGCATGAGACGTTCTTGGCCCATATCAAAGCTGGCATCGATGCTTTGACTGTCGGAACGGACGCAGAGCATCCTCCCTCAAGCATTCTTGTCCTCAGTGGCGGGGCTACTAAACGAGCGGAGTCTCTGAAAACCGAAGCACGCTCATACTACCATGCAGCACTCGCAGAAGAGTTAGCAGAAGGTCACAGGGGTGGAGGACGAACCCATAGGTGAGCACTCTGTATACTTGTCGAAATTCCAAAACACGCCATTTGAGGACGCCGATAGACGAACCAAAAGAAAACAGAACGTCTTACTTGGAGACCGCTTTCTGACCATATACACAGACTATACAACAAGGGATATATATTACTGGAGGAACAGGCGACGGATTCATTCCAGAATCTGCTTTTCAGCATCCTCCTTTTCAGGAAGGCTACTGGCAACTATCCGAAACAGATTCGGGTAATCACGCATGCTTTCAAGTCGAAGCGTTTCCTCGAACTGCATGCTCCAACTATACGATGGCCGAAAGAGCGTATCCTAGTGCAGGGCATAGATCCGCCGATGGCGAATGACGCATTACAGAGCACGCTTCGTGGGGAAGAAGAGAACGGATATGCGGCATGGGAGAACGACCCTATGGGTACCGGAGATTTACTAGGTGGGAAGAGACAGCTACGCGGATGGGACGCCAGCAAGGCAGCCAAGCACTTCAAAGATCTGGAAGACAGTGTCAAGGAGTTGTTTCAGGGCACAGTATCCGACGAACTGCCATGGATAAGCTAGACCAAGAATTGTTATGACTTGCATACGGTCTAAACTCCTACCTATCCTATCGAAGAGTTTTATCTGGTCGCCCACAGAGCACGACATCTTCTCCGAGCGGGATCCATTTCGTTTCTTTCAATCTTGTGATGGGCAATCGTTCTGAGCCACCATCCGGACAGACCTGTACACCGCCTCTTCCCAGCCATGTAGGCGCAATTGTAACAATGACCGAGTCGACTAGAGAATAGGCAGGACCAGGCCCCAGTATATCATTGATGACAAAACCACCGCCCTCAATCATCACGCTCTTTATACCTCGGTGCGCCAAAGCATCGAGGATAATATGCCACGTCGAACCAGCTGCAGCAATGTCCCCCGGAGACCGTATCAAATACTCGCCACCTACACTTTCAAGTATCTTTCGTTGGTAACTGGACGGCTCCACGCTGGTCACAATATAAGGTGCCTTCCCCTTGCCCTCCTTGGCTAATCTCATCACCTTGCTCTCTTCGCTAAACTGCCAGCGCCCGCGGGGATCTACGACGACTGGTCTTGGTTGGCCAACGAGCCCTTCTCCGCCATATCCACCTACGCCCTCGATTCGACAGTTTAGTGATGGGTTGTCGGCAATAGCTGTTCCAACACCAATCAGAATAGCATCGTGTCTTGATCTGAGGAAATGGGTCATGGCCTTGGATTGCGGGCCAGATAGCGCTGTCTGCACACCAGGTGCGATGGCTAATTGGCTGTCGAGAGAAGTAGCGAAGGTTAATGTGACGAAAGGCTTAGCGACGTGTACGTAAGGTGGAAGTGGTACAGGCGAGTCATGAGGTAGGTAGCCTTCTATGTGCTGGCTATCAGAAGCTGGAAATTGTAACGCGTCTCGTACTGGAGCTGTCATGGCTGATGTGACTATATTTTGACTGTACGTGCAATTATCGTGAGTCTGTGGAAGGAGGCTGAGAACCATGGGTGACTAAGCCGTAAAGTGGGCATCACCGAGAAACCGTGGTTGGACCCCACGTCCGCAGCACGGACGCCCGAGGCTCGTGGCAGCCTGCCCAACTTATCTTCACCCTCACGTATAATATCTCTAGCCCTTCTTTCGTTGGCCTTTGTACTTTCGCAGGCCCTCGCACTCGCCGCCTCCTCCACTAGCCTCTCCCTATCACCAAACCGCCACCTAGTCCGCTACCTCTCGCCGTTTGCCCCGCGACCCTCACGCGCGCGCATTCCAGCACACCAACGCGGTTATATCTACACAGGCAATAGCCCGGACGCCGCATACAATACCGCCAAGATGATGAAAATATGGTCTATGGTAGGTCTCGACAAGTCAGGAGTCGCGCGGTATGGCAAGACGGCTAACAATCCTGTAGAAGAAACAGCAGCAGCAGGATGAGGCTGCACAAGCTGCCTCGAGCAAGAAGAAGAAGGTCACCCCGGCCCAGCTGCGAACACAGAAAGGTACCGGCATCTCTCGACCACATACCATATCCCTCGCAAAGCTAATGCGACACAGATCTCGAGGAACTATCTCTCGGCACAACGATGAAGACGCACTTCCCTAACCCCGACGATATTCTCAACTTCGAACTCACGATCGACCCTGACGAGGGCATGTACAAGGGCGGACGCTTCAGATTCGACTTCAAGATCAACCAGAACTTCCCTCACGACCCACCAAAAGTCAAGTGCACACAGAAGATCTACCACCCAAACATCGATCTGGAGGGAAACGTCTGCCTGAACATTCTGCGAGAGGACTGGAAACCAGTATTGAACTTGAATGCGGTTGTTGTTGGTCTACAGGTATGTTACAGGGTTGCAAGATGTGGAACAGCGTGCTGACAGATTACAGTTTCTCTTCCTCGAGCCGAACGCGTCGGACCCGCTGAACAAGGAGGCCGCCGAAGACCTCAAGCAGAACCGAGAGGGCTTCAAGCGCAACGTGCGCGCATCGCTCGGCGGCGGCACAGTCAAGGGACAGAACTTCGATCGCGTGCTCAAATGAGCGTTATCGCGTAAGATCAGAACAACACAAGCTTTCACGCAGCAGTCCTTCGAAATGCCCATCCATGGACGGATGTATCACAACGATATGAGACCGAGCCACGGGCTTACTGCAGGACGGGGTCGATGCATGAGAGAAGATCGGAGGTGAACATGTCAAATCATTAGCGACTGCATGTATGGTCTGGCGCATCATGTAGAAGGTGCATGGGTATCATACGGGCGCACGATAGTCTTCCAAGATCTCATACAATATGACTGCACATTTGCGCGCAAAGATAGTTATACCCGTTCGTGATGCTTTACTGTGACTGCGGTGTTTGCTTGAAGATTGCGTCACCGCAAGGCCAAATCTGTAGCCGGCCACCAAGGCTGCGAGAGCTAGATGCAAACCGTACTGCGCAACGTTACCTCGTAGTAAATAGGCCCGCTGAGAGTACGGTCAATCTCACCAAGTCATCAGCCGCCACGCACTATCCACTATGACTGGGTCCAGCGATGCCTCATATCATCAGAACCGCTCTCGGAGACACGCATTCCTCCCCGACGACCCTCCGGCCCCCCTGCTAGCACCGTGATAGTGTGCGGTGATTGGCCGACGGCGCGAACGGTCGGTCTGGGGCAGCGATAATCGGCCTGGTCCAAGCTCCCCAACTCGAAATTCTGGGTGGGTTGACGATCGAGCCCAGCGTGTTTAAAAGCCCATATCCCCGCGTAACAATTCTGACCCCAAGATACCCCTTTCACACACATTCACAATGGCTTCAAGACCTGTCACCCGCGCTCTGCGCCAAACCGCCCGCCAATTAGCTTCCACTCCCGCTCAGAAGCGCACTTTTGTGTCTGCTCTGAGTGCTGGTGCGAAGAAGGCTGCTCCCCGCGCGGCTGTCACAAGCCAGTTCCAGCAGACCCGTGGTGTCAAGACCATTGACTTTGCCGGAACCAAGGAGACCGTCTACGGTGAGTTTGACCATTCTCGATGCATTAGGATCAAAGCTGACAACAAACAGAGCGTGATGACTGGCCAAAGGAGAAGCTTCTTGAGTACTTCAAGAACGACACCATGGCCATGATTGGCTACGGATCCCAGGGTCACGGCCAGGGTCTCAACATGCGCGACAACGGCCTCAACGTCATTGTCGGTGTACGGAAGAACGGTGCTTCGTGGAAGGAAGCCGAGGCCGATGGCTGGGTTCCCGGAAAGAACCTATTCGACATCGACGAGGCCATTGGCAAGGCCACCATTGTCATGAACCTCCTCTCAGATGCCGCTCAGTCTGAGACCTGGCCCGCCATCAAGCCCCAGCTCAAGGGCAAGGTAAGCAATATTCATCAATTTGACAAGAATCGGAACTAACATTCCCAGACTCTCTACTTCTCCCACGGTTTCTCCCCCGTCTTCAAGGACCTCACCAAGGTCGAAGTCCCCACCGACATCGACGTCATCCTCGTCGCCCCCAAGGGCTCCGGCCGCACTGTCCGCACCCTCTTCCGCGAGGGCCGTGGTATCAACTCCTCCATCGCCGTCTACCAAGACGTCACCGGCAAGGCCAAGGAGAAGGCCGTCGCCCTCGGTGTTGCCGTCGGTTCCGGATACATGTACGAGACCACCTTCGAGAAGGAGGTCTACTCCGACCTGTACGGCGAGCGTGGTTGCCTGATGGGCGGAATCCACGGCATGTTCCTCGCCCAATACGAGGTTCTTCGCGAGCGCGGCCACAGCCCCTCTGAGGCCTTCAACGAGACCGTCGAAGAGGCTACCCAGTCTCTATACCCCTTGATCGGTGCCAACGGCATGGACTACATGTACGCCGCGTGCTCCACCACCGCCCGCCGCGGTGCCATCGACTGGAGCAAGCGCTTCAAGGCCGCCCTCAAGCCCGTCTTCGACGACCTCTACACCTCCGTCGAGAACGGCAGCGAGACCAAGCGCTCTCTCGAGTACAACAGCCAGCCCGACTACCGCGAGAAGTACAACGCTGAGCTCAAGGAGATTGACGACCTTGAGATCTGGCGCGCTGGAAAGGCTGTCCGCTCCCTCCGCCCTGAGAACGCCAAGTAGATTGCGCTCAGGAGAGGTTGAGCTTGGATAGCAAGGTGAAAATGTGTAGATAATGTCATGTCTTTTGTTACGATTAGGGATGTTATGGCGTCAAGCGCTGGGTTTGCTACGGGCGCTGTTATAGCTGCGTTGGCGGCGGTCAAAAAAGAACCTTGGATGAGAGAAGGAAGGGATAGCGCAAAAGCGAAATGAATACCTTTCCATGGCAATGATTGTTCTATTTCATGCATTCGCTTGTGATGTATAGTTTCCTGGCCTGAAGACAATGTATCTTGTTATAGATATATCACGTTGAAGTAGAAACCTTCGATATGTGCGTCCAATTCATGCCACATACGCATCATACTTCCACTTCTCTACCCCAACTTGACTGACCCTATCCTAATCCTCTTACTGCAACTTCTCACTCCCATTCTTATTCGAAACCGGCGGCGCTAACCTCGTAAAAGCCTTGGACCGTGCGTACGTCGTCCAAAGTCTCCCTTCCAAGTCTAGAAGTAGTCCTGGTTTACGTCTTTGTGCTGAAGATGCAGGGGTTCTGCATCTGGGGGATGACGTTGAAGTTGATGAAGTTGTAGATGCAGGGGAGCTGCATCTAGGCGACGATGTTGAAGTCGAGGAAGTCGTAGATTGGGATGAGCCTGTTGTTGATGTTGAGGCCGATGTGGATGTGGACGAGGTGGAGGTTCGGCGAGCCATCTCGTTCCTTTCGACGTGTTTCGCGTGGTCGTCAAGGATTGTGTGGAAGTTCGGGGTTTGACGGAGTTGGGCTGATGTGCACATGTTGTTCTGCGAAGATGTTTTAAATGGGAGACGTTGCGAAGGTGGTTATTGTGGCAGTACTTGATGAGTTGGTAGTCGTCTGGATGAGAGATCGATCGTTGATCTTTACAGGGGAGTATGGTCGTAGATTACATAGGGGATGAAGAACACTGAGATTAGAGTCTACCTTTTCGATATTAATTAACAAGATCGACTCAGTTACCATATTCGATGTGAACTGAACTATGGTTATAACGTGGTGAATCTGGTATATGTTGGTGTAGCGTACCATGGTTCGTTTACAACCATCCCCTACCCCATCCCATTTAAACACTCTATCACGACTCCTTGAACCGAGCCTCCATATCCCATTTAAATACAGTTGTCCTCCAAGTTCCCCAGCCGACGTCGAATGTGAACTGGCTGCGTACTCTACGGTAGCCTGGTTCCTCTGGTTCTGTGTCTTCTACGACGGGCTCTACGACGGGCTCTACGACGGGCTCCAAGGTGGGTTGTGCGATGGGCCATTCGACAACCTCCCAGTCCTCGCTGATGTTTGTCTCGTCTCCTCCTTTGGCGTCGTGGCTTGATTTCGATGGGGTCGCATCAGGCGCTGGTGCAGCGTGTTAGTCAAGAACGAGTATTGATGTTGTTGGCGGGGAGGCACACTATGTTCTTTACTGTTTGGACGGGATCCAAGTATGGGCTTACCGCCTATGCTTATGTTGTAAGACCATGATGAATGGCGATGGCATGTGCCGCCTGTCTGTGCCATATCGCGATACTTGACTCGAGAAAAGACACCTGTCGATGCGCTATAGAAATAATGTCTATCAGAAGGCTTCTCAACGTTGTGGCGTTTCACACAGGTGTTAGATTGTAAAGTTTTTTTTAGGTCTCATACACATCCGTCTGCTGACAGCAAATAGTGGTTGCCTGATATGGCTCCGCCAGATCTTGATACTGCGGGGTGCTGAAAGAGGGAAGGATCTGTACAGGTTTCCCGGAAGTGACGGCTTCTTAATGGACGCGAAAGGATGCAGGATCTGGCCAAATCACACCAGATCTCTGACTTTGATATTGGGCCTAGAACGATGCTGCTGCAAGTGAAGTAAGTTCTATTGTGTGCATCGTGGTTGATAAATCATGAGTCGCTAGCAAGGAGTGTTCTGTCTTGCAGGTCGTGTTGGGAAGGGAGATCAAGAGATTAGGATGAAGTTGAACTGTCCCTATCTGAACGAATAAGTTTCCTGTTGGGAAGTCCGTCGCAACGTCGTATCATACTTTAGTTGGGTTATTCTCGTCTTCTAGACCTCTATACAAGGAAATGGACTCCTGCGGAGATGTGAGAGACGAGCCTAGGTCAAAAGGCGTGAACCGTTCTAAACGAAGCGTCTACAACCCGAACTTCGGAATTGGCAAAGCAGAAGGGTCTCGCGAAATGGCAATCGATGAGTCGCGGCATGAAGACAAGATAAGGAAAGTGGACATCTGCGTCGGTCGAAAGTGGAAGCGAGGCCAAGTGGCTGAGAGAACAAGCACTGCTTGGCTTCTCCTACTTGACGCAACGACATATTGCTCCTCGGAACGCCCTCGCATCCAGCGAGACTTCGACATTACCCAACAGCGCCCAGGCCCTGTGGTATGCAGTATACCCATTACTCAGGACAAAGCAGAGACAACACGGAAGCGGATATCGAATGCTTCGCGCGTTCGCATGCTTTTGACGCACCTGAACACATCCAACGCTCACGCACCAGCAACTCTCCGCACCCCGCGGGCACCTAGCGCCTCCACAAATCGCATGGCGGATGTACCAGATCGTGCATCGATCAAGGAGGCGTCGAATCACTCTCGGGTTGGATGCGAGGCTAAACTCCGATTTACCGATCTGGGGATCTAACATCAACATGACATCACCACTTCAACATTGAACTATCGACGCGTCGCAAACATGAGGCACGTAACAAGTGCGTGCGCGCAGCGAGGCGCTCTAGTTGACTGTCACTGGGAACTATGTTATAGTACTGTCCCTCCGTTCGGATCCCCCACAACGCCCGCAACTTTCGCGGATAGTCCCTTGAGACCGTCGCAAACGGCTTCCTTTAGCCATCTTTGTTTACCGTCGATCATTGGATAACGATTATTCTCGTAGTAGTTTCACCACGCCTACTACTTTTCGTTGGCCTTCCTAGGCTGTGTAGCTTTTCGCGATGGCTTCCAACGAGGCAGGAACGTTCCGGGATTCCGATCAACAGCACATACAAGACGCGTCGCAACAACAATCCTACGTTACTTCGGACGCGTCTGTTACTTCTAGTAACACGACTACGCACAATACCTTCATTTCCAATGTCTTACATACCAGTAGCCGGAGCTATTACGGTGGAGAAGGCACAGGGCTGTTCTCGTCTTCAAGCAACTCCACCGCGGTACCATCGCCAGATGTGCGACCCTCGCAAGATGCTGCAATCCAAAATTCAGCTTCCGAACTCGTTTCCAGCGATGAATCTGCGACTCAGACTATGCCTGGCAACGACTACCTGCAGAAGACGACATCAGGAGGCCCAGTCGAGGAGCACGTCGTTCTGCACGACGATTCCTCAGACTCAGAGCATGAGGCAGAGGAGCCGTCTGAGAAGCGTACCGAAACTGCCAAGAGGCCTGGCCTCCAATCGAAGAACTCGAAACCCATGACCGAAGACGACCTGTTCCGCGCGTTGTCCAGGCGAAGAACAAGCCAGGCCAATGGCCTCAGCAAGACAAATACCAGTGCGACAGGACGAAGCCAAGAGGAAGAAGACGAGATCAACAAGCTCATGGGGAAGATGTTCGGACACACTAGACAGGAAGCATCGGAGGAAGAGAAGACAAGACATCAAGGTGTAATCTTCAAGCACTTGACCGTGAAGGGCATGGGTATTGGTGCGGCCTTGCAGCCGAGTGTTGGAAGTCTTTTCCTAGACCCCGTGCGATTCTTCAAGAACCTATTCACCAAGGGGCCACGCAAGGCAGGCGGAAAACCACCAATTCGCACCCTTCTTGACGACTTCTCTGGCTGTATACGACCTGGCGAGATGGTGCTTGTTCTTGGCAGACCTGGGGCAGGTTGCTCCACGTTCCTCAAGATGATCGGCAACCAAAGATACGGCTACGAAGAGATCACAGGCGACGTCTCGTATGGCGGTACTGATGCAGACGAGATGGGCAAGAAGTACCGTTCGGAGGTGCTATATAACCCGGAAGAGGACCTCCACTATGCGACGCTTAAGGTCAAAGACACACTTAGGTTTGCTTTGAAGACAAGGACACCTGGCAAAGAGTCGCGAAAGGAAGGCGAGTCCCGCAAGGACTACGTCAACGAATTCCTTCGTGTGGTCACCAAGCTTTTCTGGATTGAGCACACCCTGGGCACAAAGGTTGGCAACGAACTGATTCGTGGTGTGTCCGGTGGTGAGAAGAAGCGTGTCTCCATCGCCGAGGCCATGGTCACGAAGGCATCGGTACAATCCTGGGATAACTCAACTAAAGGTCTCGACGCGAGCACGGCTCTCGAATACGTGCAGAGTCTGCGATCTCTCACGAACATGGCTCAGATCTCTACTGCGGTAGCGCTTTACCAGGCAGGCGAATCGTTGTACGATCTTTTCGACAAGGTCATCCTGATCCACGAGGGCCGTTGCTGCTACTTTGGACCTACAGAGAAGGCGGCAGATTACTTCAAGAATCTCGGCTTTGTCAAACCCGAGCGCTGGACGACCAGCGACTTCTTGACGTCCGTGACCGATGACCACGAGCGGCAGATCAAGGAAGGCTGGGAGGACCGCATTCCTCGCACAGGTGCTGCTTTCGGAGAAGCATTCGCCAACAGCGAGCAAGCCAACGATAACCTCTCTGAGATTGACGAGTTCGAGAAGGAGACCAAGCGACAGGCCGAGGAACGCCATCAGAATCGTACCAAGGCCACGAAGAAGAAGAACTTTACCATCTCGTTCCCAGCTCAAGTCGTCGCTTGTACAGACCGCCAATTTCGCGTCATGGTGGGAGACCCGCAATCTCTTATTGGCAAATGGGGTGGCATCTTCTTCCAGGCCCTTATCGTCGGGTCATTGTTCTACAACCTTCCAAACACTGCTCAGGGTGTGTTTCCGCGAGGTGGTGTAATCTTGTGAGTTGCTGCTGTACGACATGCATGTGAGACATACACTAACTTCATCACCTTTGTAGCTTCATGCTGCTTTTCAACGCCCTTCTCGCTCTCGCTGAGCTTACGTCCGCTTTCGAATCCCGACCCATTCTACTGAAGCATAAGACTTTCTCTTTCTATCGACCGGCTGCCTACGCTATTGCGCAGACCCTTATCGACATGCCCCTTGTGCTGGTTCAGGTATTCATCTTCGACATTGTTGTATACTTCATGGCCAACCTTTCGCGAACAGCATCGCAGTTCTTCATCTCACTCCTCTTCCTCTGGATCATCACAATGACCATGTACGCTTTCTTCAGAGCTATCGGTGCCTTGGTAGGGTCCTTGGACGTCGCAACTCGGATTACGGGTGTTGCAATCCAGGCGCTTGTCGTATACACCGGCTATCTGATCCCTCCGGCGAAGATGCATCCCTGGTTTTCGTGGTTACGTTGGATCAACCCCATTCAGTACGGCTTTGAAGGTCTCCTAGCGAACGAGTTTTACAACCTCGAGATCCAGTGTGTACCCCCGTTTATCGCGCCGCAGATTCCCGGTGCCGAGGAGCGGTATCAGTCTTGCGCCATTCAAGGCAATAGGCCTGGATCACTTACAGTTGCTGGCCCGGATTACATCTCTGCAGCGTTTGGCTACAGCAGATCGCATCTTTGGCGCAACTTTGGCTTCATCTGTGCTTTCTTCCTCTTCTTTGTGGCGTTAACTGCTTTCGGTATGGAAATCCAGAAGCCCAATAAAGGCGGAGGAGCAGTCACTATCTACAAGCGCGGCCAAGTACCCAAGACTGTCGAGAAAGAGATGGAGACCAAGACCTTACCCAAGGATGAGGAAGCTGGCAATAGCGAGCCAATCACCGAGAAACACTCCAGCGACAACGAGGACTCCGACAAGACGGCTGAAGGTGTGGCAAAGAACGAGACAATTTTCACATTCCAAGACATTACCTACACCATCCCATACGAGAAGGGCGAGAGAACATTACTCCAGGGCGTTCAGGGCTTCGTCCGACCCGGCAAGCTTACTGCACTAATGGGTGCATCGGGTGCCGGCAAGACGACATTGCTGAACACGCTTGCCCAGCGTATCGACTTCGGCGTTGTTCGGGGAGACTTCTTAGTCGACGGAAAGCCACTCCCACATTCCTTCCAGCGTTCGACCGGTTTTGCAGAGCAGATGGATGTTCACGAATCTACGGCGACAGTACGCGAGGCACTCCAATTTTCAGCGCGGTTGAGGCAACCTAAGGAAGTACCCATCCAGGAGAAGTACGACTACGTCGAGAAGATTATCGATCTTCTTGAGATGCGCGACATTGCTGGTGCGGCGATCGGTACGGCTGGAAACGGACTCAACCAGGAACAGAGGAAGCGTCTTACAATTGGTGTGGAGCTTGCGAGCAAACCTGAACTGCTCATGTTTCTCGACGAACCTACTTCTGGTCTTGACTCTGGTGCTGCGTTCAACATTGTTCGATTCCTGCGCAAGGTAAGTCTAAACCTCAACGGTCTAAGATGACTGACTAACTCGACTGCAGCTTGCGGACGCCGGTCAAGCCATCCTCTGCACGATCCATCAGCCCAGCGCCGTCCTATTTGAGCACTTCGACCAGCTCTTACTTCTCAAATCTGGCGGCCGCACGGTCTACTTCGGTGATCTAGGCCACGACTCCCAGAACCTCATCAAGTACCTCGAAGGCAACGGCGCTGATAAATGTCCCCCACACACCAACCCTGCCGAATACATGTTGGAAGCTATCGGTGCTGGCAACCCCGACTACAAGGGCCAAGACTGGGGCGACGTCTGGGAGAAGAGCTCAGAGAACGAGAAGCTCGGCAAAGAGATCCAGGATATCATCTCCAGCAGGCGCGATGCATCGAAGAACGACGAGGCTCGCGATGACCGAGAATACGCAATGCCATACCCTCAGCAATGGCTCACAGTCGTCAAAAGAAGCTTTGTGGCTATCTGGCGAGACCCTCCCTACGTTCAAGGAATGATCATGCTCCACATCATTACTGGGTTATTCAACGGTTTCACCTTCTGGAACCTCGGAAACAGCCAAATCGACATGCAATCCCGACTCTTCTCCATCTTCATGACCCTGACTATTGCTCCTCCCTTGATCCAGCAACTGCAGCCTCGCTTCCTCAGTGTGCGCGGCATCTACGAGTCTCGCGAAGGCAGTGCTAAGATCTACTCTTGGACTGCTATGGTTTGGGGTACGATACTCAGCGAGCTGCCCTACCGTATCGTTGCGGGTACTATCTACTGGTGCTGCTGGTACTTCCCGCCTGGCTTCCCTCGCGATACGTACACTGCGGCTAGTGTGTGGCTCTTCGTCATGCTGTTTGAGGTCTTCTATTTGGGCTTTGGACAGGCTATTGCGTCTTTCTCACCTAACGAGCTGCTCGCGTCGCTACTCGTGCCGTTATTCTTTACGTTCATTGTGTCTTTCTGCGGTGTGGTCGTGCCATACAACGCGCTACCCTCATTCTGGTAAGTAACATTCACGAACTGGTATGAGACATACACTAACTCCACACAAAGGCAAAGCTGGATGTATTGGCTTACTCCATTCAAGTACCTGCTTGAAGGATTCCTTGCGCTACTCGTCCAAGGGCAGACCATTCGATGCGAAACCAAAGAAATGGCGATCTTTCCACCCCCACCTGGCCAAGACTGTCAGACATACGCCGGCCAATTCGCGCAGCAAGCAGGGGGCTACGTCGAAGCCCAGCCGGACGGGAACTGTGGGTTCTGTCAGTACGCAACTGGAGAAGCCTTCCTGGCATCCTTCAACGTGTTTCCACAGTACATATGGCGTGACTTCGGCATTATGTGGGCGTATATTTTCTTCAACTTTTCCGTCGTCTTCATCTGCACCTGGCTGTATCTGGGCGGCCTACGCCAGATCAAGTCATTCTTCAGCCCGGCCGCGCGCAAACAAAAGAAAGAGGCAAAGCAAAAGCAGAGCGGCGATGCAGCTTGATACAGAGATTTCAAAGATATCAGACATTCGGCACAGTGTGCAGCGACATGCTTCGACGTCGACTGCGAAGATGCGGGTTCCGGAAAACTCCTAGCCTGCCCGCGGCCGGAACGCGCAAGGCTGGGAGACGCAGCTTTGGGACGGCCCATCCCAGCGCACTGTGGGGCTCATTTCCGCCTCGTGCATTCCCCGCGAAATGCCTCTTGGGGATCTAGAGCATGTGCTAGAGTTTCTCTGTACGTACAGGCTTGGTTCTAGCGTCCACCATAGTCACTCATATAGCCAGCGGTGTAGCATTAATAGTAATTTTGACAGCACAGCTGTCATGTGTTCAGAGTGCAGTAGCTTCCATTGTACATTTGACGTGTGAAGTATCATGGATGTGCTGGTCTCTGTCGTAGCTGTCGAGGCGTGCGCGATTAACAAGACCGCTCACACGAGATGCTCGGCACTTTGACACATGCAAACCCAATCTTGCAGGTATCGGGTTAACAAGGCATCGTGAGAAGCATCGAAATGCCTCAGCTTTTCCGATGGGCAGCGCCGCCCGTCCGAGGCCCTTGATTTGTGCATCGTGAAATCGAGGACTAAGCCGAACGGCGTTCCATCATAGTGCAGGGGTCTGAGTGGATCGCAAACTGCACACGAGCTGGAACCGGAACTGTGGTATCTCTGCACCGCCTCCTGTGGCCGAGCTATGCTATCGACTATTGATTATCGCGATGCGCAATATTGACGCGCATGTACTGATTGTGGTATGAGGCATTTCGCACTGTTCGTTCATGGCCGCTCTAGTCACCCTCCTAAATCATACCGAGGTCGACAAGAGCACAGGTTGTCCGGCGAAAAACAGGCCAAGAGTCGTTATAGCCGAAATGTTCGTAATGTGGCCCAATGAAACAATGACGAAAGGTCGTTGAGCCTTTACCGCTTGCAGCGAGCGTGAATGTGGGGTAAGTGCGATCAGCCCCTCCAGCCAATACCGACGCGCGCATTGCCGTTCACGCAGCTGTTACAGTCGTCACGAGGGCTCCGGTACTGCGAAAAGTCGTCGACCATGACACAACCGTGACCGCAGACCTCATCTTAGTCCTAGCTAGAGAAGAATAGAATTTGCCATTCCATGCGCGTCGTCGGCCTAAGCTTTGCCAGCCATAAAGCTGGAAGTCGTGGTTACACATGCCGGGCGCTCCTTCCGAAGTCACCCAGCCCTCGTGCCCAGCTCCGCGTTATTTTCGTCCCTCGTGAGCCGACCGGCACTCCCACTACCCAAACACGCGCCATTACCCAATCAGCGACAGTAGCGCTAGCTTGTCCCCGGCCCAGCAGTGCCAGCCTGAGCGCAGACGACGTCGTCAGAATGGCTTCGAGTGGTATTAAAGCTGCCTCGGACCCCGTTGTTAGAACTGCATCCCCAGCTCCTTTGGCCCAAGACTTTGCCCGTCAACAGGTGTCAAAACAACAGCGTTCTAATTTCCATTCCTCTTCCATCTCTCCACTCATATCCAACACCATGGTTTCTCAAAGTGTCAACAAGACCAATCTCCACCCTTCCGGCGTTGCGTAAGTGCCATCCTTTCTCAGGCCTGAGATCAATTGGGTTGGACAAAACTGACAACTATCTCAAGGCCGAACAAGGAACACACGGAGATTGAAGAGTCCCTTCACGACAAGGCACACATCGACTATGACCGTGTAGCTATTGTAAGCTTACCTGGGTGTACAAACCTCGATCCCAATACTAACCATGCCAGATCGCCAACCCTTCAGTCGCTGCCCTCTACGAAGATGCTCTCGTATACGAGACCGGCTCAGCCATTACAGCCTCAGGCGCTCTCTCAGCATACTCAGGAGCCAAGACTGGCCGCTCACCCTCGGACAAGCGCATCGTCGAGGAGGACTCGTCAAAAGACGACGTCTGGTGGGGTCCAGTGAACAAGCCGATGAAGGCCGACGTAAGTCTTCTCCGCATTTCCTACGCATTAAACTTTTGTCTACGTCAAACCGCGGAATTGGCTTGTGAAATTTTGGCGGCAGACGTCATGTACGCTAGGCGCATACCCGATGGAGTTCGCATCCCTGCACGTGGCGCGGTTCTGGGGCTCGGCTGCCCCGCATCGCGCCTGCATGACGGATCAACTTCCATCGATCCATCTGGAAGACTATCACGTGCGCATCTTTGATCGTTTGCCCAGGTGCTGACATCCCATCCAGGTCTGGCGTATCAACCGTGAGCGTGCCATCGACTACCTCAACACCAGGAACCGCATCTACGTCGTCGATGGCTTCGCCGGCTGGGACAAGCGCTACAGGATTCGCGTTCGTGTCGTCTGCGCTCGTGCCTACCATGCTCTCTTCATGCGTAACATGTTGATCCGCCCTTCAAGGGAAGAGCTGGAACACTTCGAGCCTGACTACACTATCTACAATGCCGGTGCTTTCCCTGCCAACAGGTACACCAGCGGTATGACCTCGTCAACATCAGTCGCCCTTAACTTCGCCGACAAGGAGATGGTCATCCTCGGTACTGAGTACGCAGGAGAAATGAAGAAGGGGTACGTTCTCCTTCTATCAGACGAGGAACTTCAACTAATTGCAATAGCATTTTCACTGTGCTCTACTACGAGATGCCTGTCAAGCACAACGTTCTTACTCTCCACTCCTCAGCCAACGAGGGTATCAAGAACGGCGATGTCACCGTCTTCTTCGGCCTTTCCGGAACTGGCAAGACCACCTTGTCTGCCGACCCCAAGCGTGCCTTGATCGGTGATGACGAGCACTGCTGGAGCGAGACTGGTGTCTTCAACATCGAAGGTGGCTGCTACGCCAAGTGCATCGGTCTCTCTGCCGAGAAGGAGCCAGATATCTACGGCGCCATCCGTTTCGGATCCATTCTTGAGAACGTCGTCTTCGATCCAGTAACCCGTGTTGTTGACTACGACGACGACACCCTGACCGAGAACACCCGCTGCGCCTACCCTATCGAGTACATTGAGAACACCAAGATCCCCTGCATCTCAGAAGGCCACCCCAAGAACATTGTTCTCCTCACCTGCGACGCCCGCGGTGTCCTTCCTCCCATCTCCAAGCTCAGCCCCGAGCAGACCATGTACCACTTCATCTCCGGTTACACCTCCAAGATGGCCGGTACTGAGCAGGGTATCACCGAGCCCCAGGCTACCTTCTCTTCTTGCTTCGCTCAACCCTTCCTCGCTCTCCACCCCATGCGTTACGCCAAGATGCTCGCGGAGAAGATCCAACAACACGGCGCCAATGCCTGGCTCCTCAACACCGGCTGGGTCGGTGCTGGTGCTACCACTGGCGGCAAGGTAAGATATTCCATCAATAAGGTTTCTGAATCATATGCTAACATCTTCACAGCGCTGCCCCCTCAAGTACACCCGCGCCATCCTCGACGCCATCCACTCAGGCGAGCTCGCCAACGTCGAATACGAGACGTACGAAACCTTCGGCCTCTCCGTCCCCAAGACCTGCCCTAACGTCCCCGACGAGCTCCTCAACCCCGCCAAGTCATGGAACGGCACCGCCGACTTCAAGGGCGAAGTCGAGAAGCTTGGCAAGCTCTTCATGGAGAACTTTAAGAAGTACGAAGACCAAGCCACCAAGGAGGTCATCGAGAGTGGTCCACACGTATGCTGCTGCCCCAAGCACTAGACGGTTGTTTTCGGTTCCGACATGTTTTTCTTACTCTTTTGACAGACTGAGTAGCGGATTTCTCCTTTCGATGTTACTTTCTCCTTGCGTTACAATCGAGCGGTCGAGCGGGTACCCTCCATCGACGTCAGCGGCTGTGCTTTCCTTTTTCTTTCTTGATTGGATGGATGTGGGCATAATGTGTGCCTGCAGATGGGATTCGATATGATATCATGGTTTTCTCTTAATCGTTCGATGCGTCTTATGAGCGCTTTGCTGCGTGTACATACACTTTTGGCGTTGGTTTCAGCTAGGCATTGCATGGCGGGAGATGAGAAGGCTATTAGGAGAGAGAGACAAAATTTCCATCATGTTCATCAAAGCGGTGTTCGTTATGGTATAGATGTGATTGAGACTGTACCACTCTCGGAAGATACTTGCACCACTTTCGGAAGGTATCTGTCGAGAGTGGTACATCCTTGATCCACATCTATACCATAATGCACAGAGCTTTTGATGAAAGCATGGATCTTTGAATGGAATATATTCTCGGATGCTCCCTCACTCGAAGCCGTGAAGATATCCAGCTATCGACTTCATGCTCTTGCCACTACTGTTCCTTACTGCTTTCTCAGTACAAGCCATTCCAACCCCCATCCAACGATCCCCATCCATCTCCCCTATCCCCAACACCCAGCATTCACAGAACCGCCTCATCCATATTCCTAATCCACCCCCACATCCACATCACCGTATCCAAATGCGCCTGCACCCCCACTCTCTCATCCACCGTATGAATATTACCTAGACCAACCTGCTCCTTATCCCAACCTGGTCCATACCGAAAGATATTCTCGCTTAAATCCCAATAGTAGCGCGTATCCGTATTTCCAGTCATAATACCAGGACTCACAAGCAGATCCTTGCCGTAGAGGGCACGGGTTGTGCCGGACAGGATCTGGTATGGTGTTGCGGTTTTGTTGGAGCCGACGTTCAAGGATGTGGGCGTTACGGGCGCGGGTTCTAGCATGGTGGGGCCGTGGGAGAGGGTTATGCTAGAGGGTGTTTCTGTGCCGTTGAAGGCGTGGAGGGTGAGGTTGTGTTTTTGTGCCACCTGGGCGGCGAGGGACGCGATGTGCGTCTTCACGGCTGATGAGCTGGAACCGACGTTTATACGGTGGTTTACTGTGATTTGAGTTCGTTCGGGAAGGGCGTTTGTCTTTACGCCGCCGTGGATTATGTCGACGGCTACGGAGGTTGTGAAGAGGTATTTTATGCCGGGGCCTGCTTTTGCGGCTTCAAGTGCTAGGGCGTCCTTGGAGGACTTCTTAGAACACGTCAAGCTG